ACTGACTTTGCTAAGTGATCAGCATGGTCATGCCTAGGGATTCCAACATGCGATGGAATCCAAACAAAACGTGTATCATGGCCTCGTTCTTTTGCACGATACACGTTTATCCTGATGTCATCTGCAATATTTCCTGTACCTTTATCTAAAGTGTTTAGAACCTGGAGAGCACTCTGTGACTCGCAGAAAATTACCTCTGAGCCTTGATTCAATAGAAATTCGGTGGCCATGAGTATTCCTACCAACTCAGTTTACGTAGTGCTAACCCTGTCATGAACCCTCCTACAATGGTGCTGCAAAATATTGGTTTTATACGAAGCAAAAGCGCATCATGCTCTGCTCCTAACCTGAATTTGATGCTAGCATTTTGCCTCCGTTGATTTTTTCCCACAATTTCATCTTGCAGCACTTGGTCTGGGTACTATTGATCTGTTGATTAATTTGCATATCTCTCTAAAAGTCTGTTTATTAACGGACCACTACTGACCTCTAGCTAGTCATTGGTCCATTTGTCTGTTTATTTACCATCATTATTATAATCATTATAACAATAATCATAAAAACAGCAAGAATCATAATAATAATAATAATAATAATAATAATAATAATAATATCGAAATTAATCATGATGATAAAAAACAATAGCAATAGCATTAATAATGATGATAATTTATTGATAATACTAATACTAATAATAATAATAATAATAATAATAATAATAATATCAAAATTAATCATGATGATAAAAACAATGGCAATAATAATGATGATAATTTATTGATAAAAATAAAGATACTAATAGTAGTAACTATAATGTCATTATAAAAGTATTAATAAATATAATAGGAATGATAATGACTATAATAATAACAACAACAATGGCAGTAATAATGATAATAATAGTGTTGTTAATACTTACAATAGTAATGATAATGAGAGTTATGATAATAATGATGATAATAATGACAATAATAAAAATTATTATTTTATTACATTTATAATTACAGTAAGAATGAAGTTGATTATAATAATGAATATATAATGAATGTTACTTATAATGATAATAACAATTAAGATAATAATGATCTTGACGGTGATAGTGATAATAGTAAGAATGATTTTAATAATAATAATAATAATAATAACAATAATAATAACAATAATGATAACAATAACAATAATAATAATAATAATATTAACAGTATCAGTTATAAAATCAACAGCACCTTCATCATCATAGTAATTATACAATACATAACAATGAAAAAAGGAAACCTTGCAAAGAAGATTAAGTGAAAAGGAAGATTATAGTAAAACGGCATTAGTATGTTTGAGCAAACTTCTATCACAGTGATTACTGGTCGCGTGCAAGCTGATAACTCGTATACAAATGAGCTTATGGCGTGATGGTATTCCTGCTTCGAGTTATGGACAAAGTAAAAGAAGTCAGAATAACATTTATAGATGGGGATAGCACATACAGTTTGATAATGAGGTTTAGAATAATGGCGATGATGAATATTGTAGTGTTATTGTAGTGACGATAATATGAATTAATGATGAAAAATTTTGAGTGTAGTAATGATGATGATGATGATGATTAATGATGATTTTTTTGTGTAATAATTATGATGATGATGATTAATGATGATTTTTTTGTGTAATACTGATGATGATTAATGATGAAAATAGTAACTGTAGTAATATCAAATATAACAGAAATGGGAGAAATTGCAATAATGGAAAAATAGTAATGATATTGATATGAATGAATAGGAGAATAATAATGAAAATGATAATTAACAACTAGGGTAGTAGTAGTAGTAGGTAATATTAGATAATAATAATATCAAAATTAATCATGATGATAAAAATAATGGCAATAATAATGATGATAAATTATTGATAAAAATAAAGATACTAGTAGTAGTAACTATAATGTCATTATAAAAGTATTAATCAATATAATAGGAATGATAATAACTATAATAATAACAACAACAATGGCAGTAATAATGATAATAATAGTGTTATTAATACTTACAATAGTAATGATAATGAGAGTTATGATAATAATGATGATAATAATGACAATAATAAAAATTATTATTTTATTACATTTATAATTACCGTAAAAATGAAGTTGATTATAATAATGAATATATAATGAATGTTACTTATAATGATAATAACAATTAAGATAATAATGATCTTGACGGTGATAGTGATAATAGTAAGAATGATTTTAATAATAATAATAATAATAATAACAATAATAATAACAATAATGATAACAATAACAATAATAATAATAATAATATTAACAGTATCAGTTATAAAATCAACAGCACCTTCATCATCATAGTAATTATACAATACATAACAATGAAAAAAGGAAACCTTGCAAAGAAGATTAAGTGAAAAGGAAGATTATAGTAAAACGGCATTAGTATGTTTGAGCAAACTTCTATCACAGTGATTACTGGTCGCGTGCAAGCTGATAACTCGTATACAAATGAGCTTATGGCGTGATGGTATTCCTGCTTCGAGTTATGGACAAAGTAAAAGAAGTCAGAATAACATTTATAGATGGGGATAGCACATACAGTTTGATAATGAGGTTTAGAATAATGGCGATGATGAATATTGTAGTGTTATTGTAGTGACGATAATATGAATAATGATGAAAAATTTTGAGTGTAGTAATGATGATGATGATGATGATTAATGATGATTTTTTTTTTGTGTAATAATGATGATGATGATGATTAATGATGATTTTTTTGTGTAATAATGATGATGATGATTACTGATGAAAATAGTAACTGTAGTAATATCAAATATAACAGAAATGGGAGAAATTGCAATAATGGAAAAATAGTAATGATATTGATATGAATGAATAGGAGAATAATAATGAAAATGATAATTAACAACTAGGGTAGTAGTAGTAGTAGGTAATATTAGAAGTAGTAATAACATTAGTTAGTAATATCAGCAGTAGCAGTTGCAGTAATAGTAAATGTTGTTATATAGTTGTTGTAGCAACGGTAGGGTATTAGTATTAGTATTAGTAGTTGCTGTAGTACCAGCAGTAGTAGTAATGATGATGATGATGATAATGATGATAATGATAATAATAATGATGATGATGATGATGATAATAATAATAACAAAAATGATAATAATAACAATAACAATAACAATAACAAAACAATAACATTAATAATAATAATAATAATAATAATAATTATTATTATTATTAATATTATTATTATTATTATTATTGTTATTATTATTACTATTATTATCATTATTATTATTGTAAATAACAATCTTAACAATAATAACGAAAACCAAAATATGCTCAAAAGAAGAAAAAAAGAAAGGATAATGATCGTAAAGATACATAAATATATTAACCATAACGATGAGACAATGATTTCCTCACTAATTTGATACAGAAACTAAATTTGCTTTGATGTCTCCGTTTATATTATCTCTGCATTTTCTGTTTTTTTTCATCTCTACGAATGAACGTTGCTTTGTTCAGTTTCCTTGGATATTTTTTTTACTCTGTTGAACATATATTCCGTTTATCTTTCTGTTTATCTTTTATCTTTCTTTCGTTTATCTTTTATCTTTTTATCTTTATCTTTTATTCCGTTTATCTTTTGTGCCTTCCTTCTCTCGTTGTCGGTAAATGTACTTTTTGTTTAACTTTCTTTCTCATGCCCTTCTAAAAGTTATGATTATTTGTTTTTGTTTTTACTATTAGTGTTATTATCATTATTATTATTATTGTCATTACTATTGTTGTTGTTATTATTATTATTATTATTATCATTATTATTATTATTATCATTATATTTATGATTATGATTATGAGTTACATTATTATTATTTTTATTACTGCTACTATTAGTGTTATTAGTAGTAGCGTGATTATGAACATGATATCATTATTATTATTATTTGTCCTACTTCTACTTCTTGTACTACTATTATTATTATTTCATTATAACTTTTGTTATTATTATTATTATTGCTGTTGTTGTTGTTGTTATCATCATCATCATCATTTTCATGATCATTTTCATTATCATGATTATCATCATTCTTATGATTACCATTTTCATCATTATCGTTATAATTGCCTTTATCATTGTCATTATAATCTGTATTATTATTATGGACATTATCATTATAACGATCATAATCATTTTCCTTTCAGAATGATTAGATGTTTCCTTTATTAGTACTAAATATACTTAGTTGTATCTCATATATTATTGTTGATATTTAGAATATTGTTTACATGTTTAAACTCTTCTACCTGCATCTCTTTCACATTAAAGCATGTAAAAGATCTGAATGCATAAATCTTTACAACTCGTTGACAATTTTTTTTTTTTTTTACGAATATCTAATACAACCAAAACCCAGAAGAAGAAAAAAAAGGGTTGATTAAGTACACTTCTATTTCTCTTATTTTTTGCGACAGATCAATCTTTATATAAGTATCTAATCAATAATAAACGTGGTCTGGCTTTTTTCCTCGACATATTAAAGTTATCCCAACTGTTAGTGTATGATAGCCTTTCCTCATTTCATTTATATCATCATGTGTATTACATTAACTGTCCCTAGACAAATCCATATTTTCATAGAATTATACACTATAAAAGATTTTGGAGTTATTCATCGTCGGATAAACACATTAGTCTAGAAACAAAAGGAAGTTCTAAGTATAGAAACAAAGGCAGTAATATATTCCATCTCTTCAATTGTATCATTATCATTTTTAATCATTCTTATACTGTAAATTAACCTTGAACTTTTTTATCACTATTACTTTCAATCATTCTTAAATATCAAGTTAGCCCTAGACATTTTTGTCTTTCGTGATCGCACAAGGCATCTCATTCAAGGATTTTTTACACCCCTTATAAAACCTAACCATAACAGATTCATATTTTGAAAGGTAAAAGTAGTAAAGATTCAATGCCTTTATTTTTTATTTTTTTCAATTTTGGTTCTTTTTTATTATTTTTTTAACCTGTATTTCATTCTCACTTAAAAAAGAAATCCTTCTTGATCACAAAATGCTTCTCGTGCAAGGGCTAATGACCTCCTTACAGATCATAAATTTGTGTTTGTCACTTGTTTTCCCGATTCCTCAGTGCGGCGAAACATGATGTCAACCAATAAAGGAAAAGACTATAATATTTTGTCCCCTTTTACTCTTTTCACACAATAGTACTACCACTTTTTATGTGTGGACGTTTTCACTTCAGTCATCCTAATCCTTTAAGCAATCGTCTCGTTTCCGTAAGGGTTATAGAGCCAAGGGTAATACTTGGGCTTGGGCTTCGTGCAGGAGGCCATAGACATGCTGCTAATATGGTCGGGCAGATTGTTCGTCTCATCAAACTGATAGTTGCTGATATCAGGGCAGTTGGTTTCTGGGTCGAAGGTGGGGCAACCGAAGGCTTCGTTGAAATTCATTTGGCTGGCGGGGACGGGGTTCTTCATCCATTCCAACACGCGGTTCAAGGACACAACATAAACGTCGGGCTTGGTTGCCAGGTACTGCAGGAATCTGTTGGGAGGCGTATGTGATAAATACGTCATGATCTGTTGCAGGGAAATTAAAAGTCATATACATAGACACACGTAACCTCCCCCCCCCCCCATATATATATATATATATATATATATATATATATATATATATATATATATATGTATATGTATATATATATCTATCTATTTATTTATCTATCTATCTATATATATACATATATATATGTATACATATGTATATATATATATATATATATATATATATATATATATATATATATATATATACATATACATATATACACATACATACATGCGTATGCATTGGGAAAAACACATAGACTCACCTCAAGTACCCGTCCCTGCGGGCAGTGGACTCATTAATCTCGTTCTCGTAGAACCAGGCGTGGTGAGCGTAGAGACCGAACGGTGCTCGATTATTTTTGTAGTTGAGGTCGAAGTTTCGCTTTAGGAAATACTCGACTGCATCGGCGCTGTTCAGTAGTTCGTCGTCAATACTAAAATGAAGTAAATAAATAAATTAATAATAAATCCATCAGTCGGCCAATTAATAAAAAAATCAACGAACAAAAATATATAAACATCAGAAAATATGTACACTTTCCGATCAGTACACTCTTCATTTTCTTGCCGACAATTATCACAACTTTCATAAGTTACCTGGCATTCGCAACAAAGTACAAAATGTGTAAAGATGATCTTGTTGCTAACCTACCTCCTGCACGTGTCCAACATGGCACAAGCTTCTCCCACGTTGTCATTCAGATCAACCATGGGGGCAACCCAGAGCCCCTTGTAGGGCTTTTCGGGACATCTACCCAGTTGACAGTCCTGGAAGAGATGCACATTTTATCTATAAATATTCTTGTAATTAATCATGAAGAAACGTTTGCTATACTCTCTCGCACACTGACACACACTTACCTGAATGGAAGGATAGTCAAGGGTATAGGGCCACAGAGCACCGTAGGGATTTGAGCCATACCAGTTGGTGTACTTGAGCGTTGGCCAAGAGCAGTCGTACTCGAGACCTAGCTCTTCCATGGCCGAGTACATCTCATCGCCTCCCACTTCCAGGAAAGGTGCACGCCAGCCCTGCCATGAGACATTAATGCCGATGAGAAAAAAAAATGGTAATACAAAAACAGCTTCCGGAAGAGATCGTTATGTTACGTAGCACCATATCGCCGTTTTACGGAATATCAGTATTGAAAGACGAAAGGGTCTCAAGAAAATGGTCAATGCCGTTATACAGACAGAATGCGATACCTTGATATCTTCCTCGGGAATTTTAGCGTTGTGCATGATAATCTTCTTGAGGTCGCTCATTTCGCTCATCCATACGCTCTTGTTAGCCGGTCGCCAGTAGTTCTGCACATCGCTCTTGTGACTGTAGGCGTAGGATGGGGGAATGGGTGAGGCAGGGACAGATCATTTGGATGATATTAATGTTTTGATGAATTTTGGGGCGAATTTCGGAAAGATGTGTATCTGTATATTTCTGTGTTTGTATAGATATACGAGTGGAGTGTGTTTATTATTCGATACGTGTCAGTTCGTATGTGTTTTTGTTTCTCTTTTCTTCTGCTATTTTCCTACATTTATGAATGTGATGTGTGTCTGCGTGTGTGTTTGTATGTGTATGTGTGTGCCTGTTTGTGTGTGTGCGTGAGTAAGTGAGTGAAAGGATGAAAATTGAGTGAGAGTGTGTGTGTGTGAGTATATAATGTACTATAATATGCTGTAGCAATCCACATTGTAAGAGACAATCAACTGAAACCGGAAGACCATAATACCAAACCCAAGACTTACGTAACAGAGTGAAGAGCAATCTCGTGCCCGAGCCGATGCAGTTCGTTAACTAGGGAGTAGTTGGTGTAAGCGTGGGACACA